AATTACAAAAATAAAGTCGTAACATTACGAGAATATATTTTAATATTATGTCCTAATATTACAAGAATAAAGTTGGATTTTATGACAACTCTTACAAAAAGCACTGAGAAGTTTGAGACCATTGCTGTAACTTATTTTTTTGTGTTAAATTATTTTATCATCAGCATACATGATGACATCATAAAATGCACAAAACGAAAACACAGTGATAACAACTTTTAAACCATAATTGTGCACCTCTTTACTTGTCAGGCTTAAAAGATGCACATTTGCTATACAAAAACATATGTGTTGTGAAGCATAACAAATGACAATTTCAATCAATGGCCCTCCATGAATCTCAATGAGAATATGAAGTGTTTTTATTGTGAAAGCCACAGCAGTCATGCTCTCAAGGAATAGAATCAATAACACACTGCAGCACCAGATTCAGTAACACATAACAGCTTGCTATGTGTGAGCTGTTATAAATCACATCAGCTGTATTGACATTTGCTGTGTGTTTGTGAGTTTCTTCGGCTGCCTCTTAAACTATGAAATTAAATTGGTTAAGTAAGTCTGGGAGAAATCAATGTATTATGTCTCTTCTTTTCATCTAAGGTATTTAGGAGTCTAAAGAGAGCCCTAAGAAATGTGTATGTGCATGTCATTGAATATGAATTTTTTTATTACAGTGCTTGCATGATGTAGTTTGACTTTTGGATTGAAGGTGGAATGCTATCATAGCAGCCAATACTTTTATATTACAACCAGATAAGCTAATTTAGTAACATACAACCTGGTGAAAACACGGCAGAGTGTTGACAGATCACAGAGCTACAACAGCCTACCTATAGCAGCATTTACATAATGCTACCTTTGATTATAAAGCTTTTTCATCACAACCAAAAGCAAAGTTTTGCATTTCTGCATTAGTCATAAACTGGATATATTGTACATTATAGTATACATGTTCAGCAATTCCGACTATACATTTTCAGATAATTTACTTTCAGAAGACCAAAAGTGCTGAAAGCCTGAGTTATCTTAAGTCAAATAAAAAAAATCAATTTGTTTAAAACTGTCTTTGAGTTTTAAACTTAAACTGTTAACTGAGGTAAGATTTTGAATGCTTTACTACTTGCTTATATCAAGTACTTGTTGTTATTCTGCCTTTATTTTATTTTCTTTCTATTTCATTGTTGAAAGGAATTGAATTGTTGAAATCTTGTAAAGCACTTTAATTTTTTTTCTTTTTACTGAATTGTGCTATATAAATAAACTTGCCTTCGTTATTCCTCTGTACATGTATATTCTTCACTGCTGAGTCGGTGTGTAAAATGTCCATGGATGGCTTTAAATACATTTCTAAAACAATAAAAATAAAGGGTACACATATACAACACAATATAACTTCAGTTATTGTAAATCAAACTATCCACTTGGGACAGACATGCACTGTATGATATTTTTAACCTTTGTACTTGGTTACAGCTCAAAGTTATGTAATCTAACTGCTCACACTGTTCAACCAGACGTTGGACTCAGCGCAGAGTGATGGCACTGGTCAGACTTGTCAATCTAGAAGCTAAATGTAGACACACAAAGAAGAATTTCCTTGTTGGACATGGTCAGTGAGTGAGGTTCAGGTAAATTGGCTCCTAGACGCTTGCAAGCTCTCAGCTTGCATTTCAAACTTGTTTAATTTTTTACCGACCTTAAGATTCCTGATCGGCAGTTGGTCATGAGAGGCTAATTGACAATAGTTACCCCTTGCATACTGTACGATGCAGGATACACGAAGCTGAAACTGTCCGATCAAAAATACATTTGCATGAATGAAAGATTTGGCCTGAAAAGGGCAAAACCTCAAACAGTGCATGCCTGCCATTAGCAAACAACATTAATCCATCAATTTCACATGTCGTTGAGCAAATGGAATTGACAACGGGTTTTGATTTTTGGCCATTGATAAGACCCACTCAATAAAGGAGTGGTTCTACAGGTGGGATCAGAGACCACTTCTTAGTACCTATGCTTTCTCTGCTATATTCTTGTCACTTTTGAATCTTATTCTACCTTTGTGGTAGAATAAGATTGACTCCACAACCCACAAAAGTGGCTCAGGTAGGCAGCTCATCCAGGATGGCACATCAATGTAAACTGTAGCAAGAAGGTTTGCTGTGTCTGTCAGCGACAGGCCACTACACCAGGAGGAAGTTTTAGGAAGGCAAAGACCAAACAGCAGGACCGTTACCTCTGCCTTTGTGCAAGAAGGAACAGGAAGAGCACTGCCACTGCCATGCAAAATGGCCCATCCAGTATGCCAGAAAATGTGTATTTGTCTGCTTAAATGGTCAGAAGCAGACTCCATGATGATAGTATCATTGTTGCCTGAATCATCGGGATTGTGCTCACAGCCCAACACTGTGCAGAATGCTTGCCTTTTGTCAGGGAGCACCAGGATTGGCTAATTTGCCACTGGTGCCCTGAGCTCTTCACAGATGAAAACAGGTTCACACTGAGCACATGACAAACCTGACAGTCAGAGCAATCTGGTGTATCTACAGCCCTCCATGTGCTCACCAGAGGTAGCATGACTGCGAAGTACCGAGATTAGATCCCTAAACCCCTTGTGAGACCCTATGCTGGGTTCCTCCTAATGAAGAACAATGCTAGACCTCATGTGGCTGGAGTGTGTCAGCAGTTCCTGCAAGAGAAAGGCATTGAAGCAATCGACTGGCCTGCCCATTACACAAAGCTGAAACTGATCTGCAAAATCAGGTCTCGATCGATCCACCAATGTCACGTTGCATCACAGACTGGCCAGGAGTTGGCGAATACTTTAGTCCAGGTCTGGGAGGGGATCCCCCAGGAGACCATTTGTCACCTCATCAGGAGCATGCCAGGGGTGAGCCTCATTTTTACCTGTTTTAAGGATTACATCAACATTGGATTGGCTTGTTGTGTGTTTCTTATCTTTAATTGTGTAACTCCAAATCCACGCCTCCATTGGTTATCAAATGTGATTTCCATTGTTTGTTTGTTTTTATTCTGTTGTCAGCACATTCAGCATCTCATTGAACAAAGCCTTCAATGAGAATATTTTATTCATTCAGATCTTGGATGTGTTTTTTGAGTGTTACCGTTATTTTTCTACACGGTGTATAAGAAAACCATTTCAAAATACCAAGGTTTTCTTTTAGACTTAAGAGACTCCTATAATTATCTTAAAAAGGGGCATAGTCTCATAATAACATGTCAAATGTATAGGGTGGTTACTCACTTTGGTTTCTTACTGTTTTTTTTAAAACATTTTCTGCTCAGTTTGTTGCTATATAAAGCTCTTCTGTGTATATTTATCACAACAACACCACAAGACCATAGAAATAACACTGTGCATATTTGGTAAAAAAACCAAAGCAATGCAGGCGAGTAAGTGTGGAACTCCCAGCTTAGTTGTGAAAATAATGAAGAAAAGTGCAAGATCCAGAGTGAAAAAAGAGCAAAACAATATTAAATTTCAAAAGGCATAAGACTCAAATAGAGCTTAGAGTACAGTATAACTGTTGATGTTCAAATCACTGTTCCATTAATAAGGGCTGTCAGAGTAAAAAATCTGGCAAAGCTTTGAGTAACTTGACTTGATGTGGTGACCCCTCAATTAGGAAGCAGAGGAAGAAACCATCATCATACTGTGATTTTGTTGAGATCTTACATCCAAGAAGACTTAAAGAACTATATGCTGAGCTTATTTTCAGATAAATCAAAATTGTGAAGCCAACCAAAAAACAAAGGAAGCTATTGTCAATCGGAGGCAATATTGAGCCCTAGTCATTTTATTTTTGTGAAGCATGGCCATGATTGGGATAAAAATGGATCCAGTTCAAAGCAATCAGAGCAGATTAAGGTGAAAAATTATTACTTTTTTCAATGAATGTGAAAAGTATTTAGTTTTACCAAATTAGGTATTTGGGGAAACACTATTCATTTCAGGAAAAAAAAAGAAAAAAAAAATGTGTTTAGGAAAATTTTTGTTTATGAAATTAATAATAGTGAAGTGAACAGTTCTTATCTTTTTTGTTTAAAGATTCTACAAGTCCCTCACGTTACTTCAGACAGTGGTCACATGACTTCACAATCTCTACAGACAAAATATTCCACTGAAATATAGAACACTGTATATTACTAGATCCTGTAAATGAAGTGATGTGAATTAAATCAAACAACTTTTGGTATCAGTACACTGAAATAAAAAAAAATAATAAAAGCTTACTACACATCCAGCAGTGTTTTCACTCTCATAACTTTACTATTCCTCTCTAGTTTGTATTATATAACTACTCCCCACTTAGTACAGGGTAAATCAGTTAAACCTCACATATGTTCACTCAATCACTGATCTTGCCAAGCAACATTTTACAGCCATTGCATTTTCAGAAATATGTAGAATTAATTATGTTTTTTCTGCAACCCTATTAAAAAATTAAATATGGGCTTAAGTCCAGTTAATCAGCAGTCAGAAAATCCTCTTATACCCCCAAGAGGTTGTAAGTAGATGTTGACTCTAAGCCAATAATATTGCTGAAGCTAATTGATGCATCTGCCCATTAAAATCAAGAGCTGGGGTTTTTAATCTCAGAAGTTTGAAAACTGGGATTAAAGACATGTTTTACTATAGTTACCACATGTTTATATCACTTAAATGAGAGAATTCAAGAAGCCAAGTTGTGTACAGTTAAAAAGAAACAATGGTGATATAAGAAAATTGTTTTCAATAGCTGACTTGAGTGATGATAAGTGCCTATGTCTATCTGAAAGAAGAAAAAAAAAACTTCAGTCTGGTGTCTATCCATCAATTACCTTCACTCGTACAAGGGGTTATTGAGGGGCTTATGCCCATCTCCAGCAGTTAATAAATGAAAGATGGGGTAGACCCAACATCGTTTGCCCTCAAGTGTGCCCCCATTCAGCACTCAGTCTACTGTCTTATATTCAAGTAAATAGTGTAGTTTACTCACCCTTTCTGCAGATTGTGATGTCCCAAAGAAGATGGGGATGAAAGCCAGCCAGATAATACACGTGGTATACATGGTAAACCCGATGGGCTTGGCCTCGTTGAAGGTTTCAGGTACGCCTCGTGTCTTAATGGCATAAACTGTGCACGTCACCATTAGTAGGATTGAGTAACCCAAAGAGCAGATGAGAGAGAGGTCTGAGATGTCACATTTCAGGACTCCACGGGCTGCCATGGGGTCTTGGGTCCGCTGCTCCCCATAGTCCACTACGGTGTGGGGAGGGTCTACAGCGAACCAGACAAAAACGCCAAGAAGCTGAACTGAGATTAGGGAGAAGGTAATGACTAGCTGCGAGGCAGGAGAGATGAACCTGCAGAGGAAGAAAAGTTCACATAAGTCCATGTTTTATTAAAAAAACACATTTATCCATCTGCCGTGGGAATCCAATGGGTCTCCAGGCCAGAAGAGGTTTATAGTCTTTCCAAAATTTGCGGATCCCCACAGGGTTTCTTCCATGTGGAATGTGGAAAAAATACCTCCAACAGAATGTGTCAAGGAGGCAATCATAAGATTCCCTAATCAACGCAACATCCTCCCTTACAGAGAAGCTCCTCAACCCTCAGCTAAGAATGACCCCAACCACCTTAAAAAGAAATGTGCCTTTCAACCATCTTATCAAGGATTTCATAGTAAAGAAGAAATGAGTCCAATCGTTCAAACTTGGCTGGAGATTCCTTATACATATATACATTATAGGATACTACATAAAGAATTATACAGAAGAAAATCATCTCAAAGAAGTAGTTTAAACAGAGACTCTCCATTGACTCTCCCTCGTTCAAATGTAGAAACCATATGGACTAGACAGTTACTCCTTCCTCAACCCAACAGAGATCAAAAGATGGTTCACTTTTCTACAGCCAGGAAGGAAAGCACACTAATCCTCGAAAATCAAAGGCTCCATCATCAACCAAACCCTCCTTTTACAGCAGTAAAGTTGCCCATGAACGCTGAGAAGTGAATTCTGCCAGCTGGTGCAACACACTAATGTCTTCATTAAGAGTAGGCTCACCACACAGCTACTTTGGGGTTTTCCCAGTCCTCCATTTATATAAAGGGAATTCCTCCAAGACTGCCTGTTAATGTTTCGTAGCCCTAAGCATATGTCATCTACACTTGGCCTGCCGCTATCATCTCCTCTGCAACCAGTGCTACTGTGATGATGCCAAGTCTCCAGACATTTCCTCTTTCACAAAGCACATGGTGACCAGATTTATAAAGTACATCTTCCACTTCCTAAAAATACTTACTCTACAATCCAAGGAAATAGGGGACACGACATGTGGTACTTTTTGAGTGCACTTTTTAAAAAAAACTGTTCACTTAGTTGAACAAAAAAAGCATTTTCTAGAGCATCTAAAACTTTGTGCATTTAGCTCTTTAGATTCATGTGTGCAAACTCAGTCAGTAAAGTTTTAGTTAGACATTATTAGACAAAAGATAAGCTATTCAAAAAGAACAAACTGAAAAATAGTGAGGAATAGCTGCAAAAAATACTATTAAATCATTGGTCTATAAGAGAATGAGATACAAATAAACATTTGAAAGCCCTGAAGATAGATGTTAAAAAAGGCGAAACTCATGATTGTGTGCCTAGCAGGTATGTGAAGCTTAAAATGACTAAATCCTGCAATAACATTATATCCACTTACATGAAACCCCTTTAACACTACCTGTAAAGTGATGAGTATGCTGCTCATTATTAAATTTAAGACTGTACAGAAAAAGTAATGATGACAAACGATTTCAAATATACTAATGATGAGGGAGTAGTAGGTTAGAGGTATATGTGGCTGGCTACAGCTTTCTGCATTAATAAAACAGCTTAATTTAAAACTACATGACATAAATAATGAGGAGGCACACATGTTAATGTCTATTATGATGGATAGCGCTGTAAACTTTTTTCTTTTTTCATTACCTGGGCGCTGTTACTGACTTTTTCCCTTGCTCAAAGATGCGGTGTATCCTGTTCGTCTTTGTGAGCAGTGCAGCATAGCTGAAACACATGCCCAAGCCCAGGAAAATCCTCCGCAGTGAACAAACACCCACATCCGGCGTTGCGATCATTAGGAATGTGATGGCATAGCACAGGAAGATTCCAGTCAGGAGTACGTAACTCATCTCTCGGCCGGATGCTCGGACGATGGGTGTATCGTTGTACCTCACAAAGGTAACTATGACAAAAGAGGTGGCGATAATCCCCAGCATGGAGATGAAGACTGGTACAACGGCCCAAGGGGAGTGCCACTCCAGTTTGATGATAGGAATTGGAACACACCCTGTTCGGTTGGTATCTGGTCGCATCTCATAAGGACACAGTTCGCATGTGAACTCAGAGGCCTAAGGAATGAGCAAAAATTATGTGTTAAACATATTCAGGGCAAAGTTTAAGTTCTGTTTTGCCTGTTGAGTACAAACTCAGTCTCTAACCATAAACATTTCCAGGAAATAAACAAAAATATTTATTTTATTTTAAAAAGTATTAATTATTTTTAACAATTCATTATTTATGCTGCTATGCATTAATCCAGTGTATGGTCTAATGGCCACAGCCTCATAACAAAGTGCATATCACATACTTCAATTACAACACTGCACAGGGATGAAAAAATATATTTTTACAGATCGTTTATTCATTTAGGTCCAACAAACATATTATTTTATCATATAATAGGGAATAGAAAAATATAATTTGAGTAAATAAAAGACTTCCAATCATTATTTTGTCTATAAAGGTAAAAGGCTATTAACAAACAAGCTGTGCGAAAAAAAATAATCACCTCACTTGTAAAATTAGAAATTATTGGCGTTTTTTTAACAGCTGAGTCCCCAGCCATTTGCAGACATAAATCCTGCAAGATTTTGTGGCGCTAATAGATAAAAAATAGATATAATGTAGAATATGTGCAAAGATCCCCTAAAAAGTCCACATCGTATCCTGATGCAAAAAAAATCAAGAACAAATGAGAAACAAGGCAAATCATGGTCAATCTTGAAAGGGTCACAAAGGCATTTCTGAGGCTTTGAAAGTCAGGGTGACATTGATTAGCATCATATAAAAAAAAGAGAAAATATAAAAGAGTGGTGATCCTTTAAAGGAGGGGTTGACCAGTCAAAATGATTCATAAGCACAACCAAGAGATAAAGCATAAGAGAAAGACTGGGCAAAAGGTACATCTAATCATGAAACCAATGATGACCGAAATGAGCACCTTTGGCATGGCAGGCTCATAACTGCCAGACGTTATCTTGTCAATCCCTGAAAAAGTATTCTGTGTACTGACAGGACAAAAATGAAAGAGAATTGTGTGTCTTGAATAAACCTTACAGCAGTTAAGAAAATCATCTTTAAAACCATAGTCAAACATGGATCTTTTAATGTAAAAGTCTTTGATAACTTTGCCAATTCAGGACCTGCAGGACTCATCATAATTATTAGAACAATCAAATCTTTCCTCAAGAATGAAAAATTCGAAGATGAATTTCTTATCATTGTTGGTGGTAAGCTAGTAAGCTCCTGCACACTTACTTTATACAGTAGGACAATAAACACGGGGAAGTCCACCTCTGGATGGCTCAAATAACACGAACCAGAAATCTAGAGCTTTGTCAAGTAGAGTCAGTATAAAATGAGGAACCAGAGGTTGCATCCCATTCAATAGGTTTATGTTGTTTTTAACAACTATGGCAATAATAAAAATATTTAGTTGAAGCTTTTTTCATCATGATAAGTAGACAGAGATTAATAAAAAATAATACGATGTGACTTATCGTTATCTAGATGAAGACTAGATAGAGAGACTAAATCATCTGTTCATTTTCAGAAAAACAAAATTATTGACATTTCTGCCTATTTTACACCCTATCCATTAGTCAAAAGTTGGACTATCAACAATGCTATACTTATTTGGTCTTGCCCTTCCCTATCTGAGAGCGACCGCTGCAGGCTTGATGGTTGGACAAGATGGAGGGTTCAATGGCTATACATAGAATATGATCCAACCAAAAGAAAATAAAATGTACTGCAAAGGCATATAGTGGTTGATGTGAACATAAACAAGAAGGGAAAATGCAACACCTTTAGATTAGCTACAGTATGCTGATATTCCTGCATTGATAAGGTCCCGTTGTGCAAAACAAAAAAACAATCAACATTTTCATCCAAAAAGCCAAACTCTAAAAACTGAAAGGCTGCCAAGAGCAACACTTTAATTGTTTTTGGGACAAAAAATGTTCACACCAGTTTAACTGTGAGTCACAACAAATGGAAAAATACCTCCACAATAACTCATTCTTAGGTTAAAAATGGACACATAATAAAACCATATCTTTAAACTAAACATAGTGATAATGAATACATTTTTGGTTTTGTTGTTGTGATAAAAGAAAACAATTGGAATATTTCATAACAAGAATTATAGCCATTCAAAAACAGCAGATGGTAGAAATGGGCATCATTCCCTATGGATAATCACTATTCCCTAAAAGTGTCCCAATATACTGCAACCATATCTGAATTAATGTAGTTTTCCAATATACTTCATATCGATGCAAATGTAAGCTAAGACTGTTTTTTTTTTTTTTATCTTCCCAAAAATGTAGATATCTGCCACATAGAGAAGATATGAGTATTTCATTCTGTGACCACTTGTTAAGGGAACCATTCACACATCTTTGAGCATTTGCTCTATTGCCACACTTATTCAAATCAACAGATCATTGATTTTATAGCCCATGAATGAATGTGTAAAATATGTACTGAATGTTCAGTCTCATATGAGCAAGCTGCTGCTCTGACTAATATTTTTACTGTCTTTATTGCTTTACTGAGCAGGGATCACTTTTTTACGTATGTTTGCCTGCTCGTAGAATTTTCAAATGTAATAAGAAGGACGATAGGATGCCAAATTGTCTCCAAGATATAATTATAACGAGAGATATATCTTCATAATGTGTGATCAGACTCATTCCCACATCTCATATAATGCATTTCCTTTGCTCTAAGAGCATATCTGGGGTTCTTTCTGCATATATACATTAATAATAAGCCACCAAAGTAAGTTTTTTGCTTAAAAAGCTGATATGTATTTAAACAAAGAGCAAAGACTGCTTCCAGGGACAGAACAGGGTCCGAACAGCACTTTTAAATTTCATATAGGTAAATTTTTTGTTAGTTTATTCATAGAAGGATAATCACCACTTCTCCCTTTTATTCTATTGTGAGTTTACAGGTCTAAACTAATCCATTATATCTTGATTTGAGAGTTCTCTCATCCTTTAGCCCCGATGAATGACAATATACTGAGGCAAAATTAACAAATGATAGCTTAAGTATTTAAATACACCACTTTCAGGTGTATA